TCTTTTTGACCACTAAATTGTTAAATCGGCAATATCATTATTTTTCGTCTCATGGACTATATCGAGAATTCCTTTCGTTCTTTGTGAACGATTCTGCGTTTCATTCGGCATATTTGCTCGAAATTCTAACAAATCGTATTTAAATTCGAGTTTATTTCGCTTTTATCTCAACCATCATGTCTTTTGTACCTTTGATGACAATGATTGAAAACTCGATTGTGAAACACTGATCTGAAACGATCTACTTCATTGCTGCTTCAGCTTCCATCAGATGAGTCGCGAATGTGCTGACGGCGTTCATTTTTGAGCCGGAGTACCTGAGCTGTCGAAACACTCGATCCGACGCAATGTGTTGTTTAATATTTTTCGGCCGTTTTGTATAACAAGTGACTTCATCAAGACTCGAGGAGAAACAGCAGAGCTTTTTTGAGCAGCGCGAAATTTTAGTGCGAGCTGTACGGAGAAGAAAAATCATCTCATAAAATGCATTATAGTCCTTCTATCTTGCATCGGGTTGATTATGAAAACCGATAACGTAAAACGATATACCATTCAGCGACGGAGAAGGTATACCCTGTCATTCAAATTCCTTACTTATTCAGTGCCTTTTCCTTGCCTTTCCCTTATTTTCCCGAAAATTCATTCTTTGGCGCGATTCTTAAAAAACCTTGCTTTTTCCTTACCTTTGCTTTACTTTGGCCTCACCTCACACGCATTTTAAACTCAAATCGGATTTGGAAAGTGGAATGATGGAATCACAAAAGAATAAACCAAAAAACACAAGGAATCGAACCGGGAACTTAATAAATAGAAATCGCATACTGCCGTGCTAAGGAAGAACGCCGTATGCACATTCGAGAGTTGCCAAACTTCCCTTGATAAAACGTGTATTTTTGACAACATCGTGAATATTTTTTCTTGAAATTTTCAAATATTTTAGATCAAATTGCGTACAAAAACGTCTGAAATTTTTGGCTAACAATATTCACAATTTTTTCAGTAAATTCGGTTTTTATCGGAGAAAACTTGGCAACGCCTGAAGGTTCATACGGCGTTTTTCCTGGGCATGGCAGCATACGACTAAAGTGGAAACAAAGAGACTTGTAAAAGCATACCATATTGACATACCACTAAAGCCACTTTTAAGAGTACACTGGAAGAAAAAACAGATTGGATCTAGAGTCCAGACTCTTAAAAACATCGACAAGAAAAAGTACTCTTGATTCAATCAGAATCTAGCTTAAATCAAGAACCGAGCCTCTTCATTTAAGAGGGTTTCGTTTTGAATCAAGCAAAAATCCGATTGAATCAAGAGTAGTTTTTCTTGTCAATGTTTTCAAGAGTCTGGACTCTAGATCCAATGTGTTTTTTTTCCCCAGTGTACATCACGAAAATCTTGAATTTCCGTGTCTTATAACGGGAAATCCGTGCCGACCAGTAGCGTGGCGTGAACTGCGATGTATCGATTGTTATGCCATTTAAACCTATGGTAAAGAATCGATTATTAAGGCGCTCGCTGCGAACACCCTGTTTATCGATCCTTTTCCATAGGTTTAAATGGCGTAACAATCGATATATCGCAAAGAACGCCACGCCACTGGTACCGACCTTCCGGGATCCGTGCTCTTTTTGTACACTGGAAAAAAAAGAATCTTAAATTTGCCGCCAAGAAGTATTTCTTCTAAAATCAAGAATTTTGCTGGTTAATATAAGCTACTTTTTTGCTTAACCCAAGCATTATTTTTCTTGAATCAAAAAAAAGTCAGCGTCTAAAAATTATAATAACTAACTAACTTAAAGCAAGATAAAGAAAATTCTTGGCGGCAAATTCAAGAATTATCATGCTTGATCCAAGCTACTTTTTTTTTTCAGTGTAGGTACAGTAGACACCCTGTTACTGCTCTCTCGGCTATCACGGTTGATTTTGAGTGCTCGGCGAGTGATTTTTTGCGAGTGCGGTGGCCGAAAGTTGGCGAATTGGGAGCGGGAGCCGCGAAGCTTGGAGGCCGCTGGGGCCGCGGTCGCGTCGGGCACGGATACTGCCGCTCCGACTCGGAGTCAGGCTCCAGTGAAAGTCATATTGTCTACTTTCACTCTCGATTCTCAGCCGACGAGAAAGTAAAAAACACGATTTTATCCCAATCATTTTCAGCGCCGCGCCACGCCGCGCCGATCCGCTTTGGTGATTCCGAACGCGACGCGACGTTTTTCGACCACTGCATCAGTCTCGATGATGTCACGTCGCACGGCGGAGCGAGGCGATCAGAGACGTCGGGCGAAATTTGGAAACTTTAAACGCTTATAACTCCGAAACTTTGAGGTCCTGAAAGTAGTTCCGTCGGTTACCTCGTGAAATTTCATACAAGAAGCACCCCTTTAAATTTGAAATGTATGACGAAATAAACATCAAAACTGGCAGTTTTATAGTCAACATTTTAATGTCCTACCTCTCTAATTGACTGATTCCACTGTGCGTCTCCTCGCGAGACAGCTTTCTTCCGAGTCCACGCAGAAAAGAAAGATTCCTTTTTGGATCGCATTCAGCAAAAAGGAACCAGCGCGGTTACAGTGTTGTACAAATGTTGCCTTTTCATGATTATCTAAAAAATCTCCCAGATTTTTTTTTTAACATGATGAGCATGAATATAGAGGAAAACTAATGCAAAAACGGGCGATTAAGAGGCGGAAGTGGTCAGCGGACTTCGACGGGGTAAAAAATTTACAGCGCTAACTCCGCAGAACTTTGAATCATTGTTGTCATACAGATAAGGAAGTGTTTGAAGCGGGTAATGGCGCAAAAAATTATTCCGAACTGACCACTCGGCTAAAAACACCAGATGAGATATAGAAATATCAATGTCTTCACGAACGTTTACTTACCGGGATGTGATAAGCTGTGTAGGCTGCAGATGATAAATTATTGTTGTGAAGATCGAGGGCACGAATACAATATGCCGCTTCTTCTCAGCAGGATCGTATTCGATACATCGAACAGGTGAGATTGTATCGATATCCTTTGATTCAACATGTAAACATAGCCTCAAAAGTCAATTTAGAAATCTGAGGAAACGGGTCTTTCGTGATAGATTTTTTATTCTTTTAAGCACCAAATGCCAATGAAAAGTGCACTTCTTAAAATTTTCTCATTTTTAGCTTTTCCAACTGAAATCCTAGAATTTTTGTTTGAGGTTATGTTTAATTGTTTTGAACCGAACAATACATCGAACCACTGTCGAATACGGTCTTTTTCTAACGAATAAACTATCAAAAGCGTATTAAACTACTCATACACACATTGCAGGTTTTCGTCGCATCATTCAGAAAATGCTGCTATTTGATGGCTCTGCGGTGAAAAATTTCTTAACGGGATGCGGTTTTTAGATAAACGATTCTAAGATCTCGAGAAATGGCATTTATTGGGAAAATCTTCCAGTCGTGAGAAGAGGAGGGTGCAGAGATCCCTAGACATCCCCCCCCCCCCTCTGCCGCTGCCACCAAAATACAGAATTTCATTTGAGTTAGGAATCTCGGTTATTTTGAGACTTATTAACGGAGCTCAACCTTCGATAAGTAACCTTATAGACCTAAGGTGTACGCGTATATGACCTTACTCGTGTCATTGCACAACCAACCGTCACAAAAGCGGCATTTACTCTCTTGAGATGAACGTCTAGCACTGAGACAAGAGCTAATCATACGCACCTGCTCCGGTCCGCTCCAAAACTGGTTTTCGTCGTCGTCAGGCAGTAATGAAGGCTTCTAAAATTAGATTTTTGAGCCGCAGATTTCGAGATTTAAAAACTGGACCAAGTTATTTTTGCGCGGTGACTCCTCCAAAATTTTGGTTAGCTCTCTTTGAACATTCATCAAACATCAAACAACGCGCCAATTTCTTAACCTTCTTTGAATATACGTCATCTACCTAATACGAAGGAACCTGTTTTGGAACTCTGGGTAGGTGTTTATTAAGGAAAATTAATTTTCGGAGAAGAGGAAACATGGAAAATTATAGTCAGGGAAATCTAATTATAAGAGGTTTTGTCATGATATATTTTTTTTTTTTTTAGTTTGTTTTCGGTGGTTACTGGAATAATGGCTTCTACCACTTCAGTTCAGAGTGAATTTTCCTCCTTTAAAGGTGAAAACGAACAGATGAGTAAATAAAACTGAAGTTGAAATGAATCCGCATTTTCGTTAAAAGTGAAGCTTTTCTAGAAGCGCGTTCATTTTTTTTAATTGTTTTGACTTTCCGACCATTATAAGCCAAAAATATTCGTAAAATTTTTAAAAAATTCAAATTTAGAATACTAATGTATCGGTGGCATTCATGGTGATTTAAAAAATAGAAGGCTAGATAAGTTTCATAGCTTGAAGTCATCATTTCATACGGGCATCTTCCCCTCAAAACATCGAATATTGCAGAAAGGGCGATATTTATGAAGTTCAAAAGCTTGTTATTTCAAACCAAATGAAAACGTCAGAAATTTTTTGGAGGAAAATGTTAGCTTAATCGATACACACTGGAGAACTGAGAAAAAAGAACTCTCTACTTGTTTCAATATTATCAGTTACACGTTTCTTCGGACAAATTGACCGCCCTGCCATAGTGTCTTTTCTGTGATATTGGATTCATCGGTTGAAAACATTTTCCTAAGATCACGCAACATGTTTACATCTCAAGGAAGCAAAATGTTCTTGATTTTGTAGGAAACTTCGTCGGATTGGGTCGCCAGACAGGGGATCGAGTCAATGGGAGAGGCCGGAAAAAATTTGAAAACTTTAAAAGCTTATAACTCCATTTATACAAAACTTTGAGATTTTAAAAGTGGTTTCATTGGTTTTCTCGTGACATTTTTGTCTCGAAGCATCCCTTAAAATTTTAAATGTGACGAATTAAACGTCAAAAATTGCAGTTTCGGTCAAAAATTTCATGCCCAACCTCTCTGATTGACTCGATCCACTGTGCGCCAGTGATGGACAGAATTCAAAGAAAAGACACCTCATTTTCATTTTAAGTTTATCTGTAGAAACAATTTACTGTACAAAAAGGAATGAATGTTACGAGTCACTGCCAATAACTTAAACTTACTCTATTGGTAAAAATATATAACATTAAACAAAACGGTACGATATCAAAGAAACAATATCCAAGACAACAAAGGTACCCGCATAAATGTTACGTTAATTAACATGAACACCACTTTTAAAAGAATTCGAAAATCACTCGAACGATTTTCCACTGTCAGGACGATGGGGGAGGCGAATAGTTTTGAGCTGCTACCATGACCACTTGCTCGCCTCTCATGAGCAATTGAGGCACGTACCTTTGACAAGTTTCGACTTTGGAGGTCGACGATATAATCCGAATGCGTGGGATTCGCATGTGCGGGTGTCGATTTTCGACCAATGTTAGACCTGAAACATAGGGAACGTCATAAGATTAAGTTATGAATGCACAAAAACACGTTAAAATATTAAATCAGATTTATACCGATGTTTAATGACAAGGTAAACAAAAAAGGAAAATTATTGGTAGCATACTTCCAATTTCCATTTTCCAACACCTTCATTTCGTCCCGCAATAGGATGGATATTATGAGGAAGAACCAGCGCTACTAAATTAGGAAAAACTCGCGCACTAAAATCTCGTTATCTAGTGCTTTTTCGATCTTAATAGCATTGGTTCTTAAGTCCTCAGTGCAATACTCATGTTTGAAAAATCACAACTTGGTTGGGGCGTAGCTGGAGATCTCCTTTTTGATTGAAATGCACTTCCTGTTTGAAAGCTGTTCGTTCGGACTGCATTGAAATCTTAATTTTCTTTTTTTTTTTAAACAAATTTTAACTTTTAATTTTTTTGGTTTTCTGTTTCAGGTAAGAGTCAATGATCAATTTTCAACGTAGCGATATGTTCTTTTCGTAAGTATACTCACACTTCATATAAAAATAAAGTTTACAAGGCCTAATCTAACTTGGTACCGAAAAAATTGTCATTAGTATTCAGATGCTTTAGAAAAACCAGGGTACTACGAAACATACTTAGACCTAACGACTATAACGACTGACAGGGGAGCATTCGAATTTTACTTAAAGCACTGAAGTGAAGTGTCTACAGCCTAGTTGTACAGGGTGTTTCTCAGAAGCGTTACCAAGACACGAAACGCTCCAAATTCGAAAAATTGCGTGATTTTTTGGAGTGAAAAATATTTTCAGTAACTTCTTGTAGCTATTTTATGTTGAAAACACAGATATTAGGGATGGAAATGGGCCTGGATGTGCGCCACAAGCGCAAAGGAGAGGGACAAGATGAGAAAAATGTTATTCTCTACTTAAAGCTCACCTTAACTTTAGAATGGACTTAAAGTATGGTCTAGATAATTTGACAACGCACGTCTCTGCAGTTTACTGCGACTTACTCGACCTACCTACATGCGTTCCAAAGTCGTAACTCTTACTTTTCTGGAGTCCTCCGTTACCTTGCCGGCAACACTTTAAGGTTGCCACTTCATCGATTTTAGTTTGAAATTTTTTCTACTACATTATAGCCGGATTAAGAGACATGCTGGGAACACTTCTTGATACTCGCGGTTGCTGGGTAAAGAAAGAACCACGTGACTCGCTCGTGTCTTATGAATAGAGACAACGTAATAAGCATATGCAACGATTCAATTCCTAGGTTCCTATGCGTTCTGATAATCCGATTATCGTCGTGATTTGAAAGAACTGGGGAAGAGCAAAAGGGATATGGTTGACTGCGGTAAAATCATCTTTAAAAAATGATACTTCTTAATTCCCCATGAAATTATTCATCACTATCGCGCCAGAATTCGGCAGAAGAAACCAAGTCATATTTTGAGAAAGGGGGGGGGGTGGGTTACTTGAAGTTATGGTACTAAATGATAGTTTTGAGCGTAACTAGGCGTGCATGTTTTTCTTCCACCAAAATTAAAGTGGAAAAAAAATCAAACATCAAAAAAATCACAAAAAAAGACATCTCTCTTCACGCTTGGAGAAGTTAGTAGAAAAAAAGCACATCCCTCCTATTGGGAACTTCATACCTATTTCTCTCGATTCCAACTTGACGTCGAGACTTGGAGCCTCTCCGTTGAATCTGCTCCAATTATCCTCTGATTTTTGAGTAGTATTTTCAGCTCCCCGACTTTTTCGGTTTCTTTTAACCTATCCCCGCAAACAATCTCCGTTCATTTCAAGTTTCCCCTGACTGAGGGCCACGCCACCCCGTGTAGTAGCTTATTTCCTCAGTGTAGGCAAAACAGAACACGCTAGGTTTCGGAATCTGCGGCAAAAATTTGGCACTCGAACAAATTGTGGCGAGCGGCGAACGGAATCGGACGACGATTTGCCTAATCTGCTTTTGGTGGATTAACGGCGGCATGTCGGCAAGCGTGGGCGAACATGGCCGCCGCGCGCGTTGTGACTGACGCACGCCAACCTTGGGCCGAGCGTAAACTTGTTCGTCGACGAAGCTGCATCATCTCAACCAGAGTAAACAAAGCGCCAAGCCACATCGCCCCCTGCTCCGAGCTATCCCACAAAATCTGGCTCCAGCCACCATTCGCCAAAATCCGCGTCGCATCAGGCAACCAGGTTAAAATGTCGGCTTTTTTGTATCGTCTAACGCCCTCGGTGCAGGCCCGCCACAAGGGGGGGGGGATACTGGGTCCTTGGTACCGGGGCCCGGGCCCTGGAGGGGCCCATGACGCAGGTGACAAACCACTACGAATTCATGTGTAACCCTTGTCTCGTAGGGAAAAGTGAAAAAATTACCCTAAAAATTCGGCAAAAGGTGAATAAAGTTTCAAAAACACACTAGGGCACTATAAAATTTTTCTTACTTTTTTAGAGATTTTCAAGATTTTGAGTGTATGTAGAATGCTATTTTTAGTAACTGTGTTTCATTTTCTTCCGTTGTCGGATGCTAAGAGGCTCCTTTCTGGGCATCCTCGACTTCAATGGCTTAACTCCCTTGCCATAGACGTACGAAAGGGGAGTCCAGGGGGGCCCGGCTCCCCATAGAATTGAAAATTATCATCTGCCCCCTCAAAAAA